TTTATATATTTGTGCGTGTGAGTGTAAATATATATATATGTGTGTATATATGAATGAATGGATATGCAAATACACACACACACAAACATATATATATATATATATATGTGTGTGTGTGTGTTCTTGTGTACTTCTATATAAATATATGTATGTATATATATATATATATATTATTCTGTATATATATATATATATATATATGTATGTATATATTTCTAGGTATACATTTGGTATGAAATATCTAGAAATATATGTGTTTTAGTATGTATGTTTAAATTTATTAATAAATATGTATATATATATAGTTTGTGTTGATATTTATATTTATATACACATAGTATATAGTATATACTCAATTTTTCACACCAGCATTTTGTATGGTATACGAGTATTTAGCAGCGTACTGGGTGGATAGCATGCTATTACGCATGTGTATGTACTCAAGTTATGTCCCAAATTGTGAAGCGCTTCCACGTCAATGATTCCTCTGCCAATTGATTCCATGGCAGATCATGTTTGCAAACAAATCCTTTTATACTGTTAAAGCCACATTTTCAGTCTCCTCTGTCGAAACCGATATTCAAACTCTTTATGTTCCTTGTTCTTTATGCCCTGCAGGAAGTTACAAAAAAGTATAGAGGACATGCATCGCTGCTAGTTCATCTATTCCCCTTGCCGTACCATCAGTACAGTTTTGCTGCATCCCAGGTAAGAGTCTTGTCATATTTCGTCGTTAGCTATACAGCTAACTGTGTTGATTCTGGATGCATATGCATCTGGCCTGTGTGCTGTATGAGATAATCTACTTGTGAGCATGCTCCGTGTGTGCATGTGAAATCGTCGCAGGCAGGTCAGTATCTGATGGTATAGTCGACATCTTATCTGAGAGTGAATATTAGATACTATATCGAGATCGCTTCAATTCTCTTAACGAGGTCTGTGTGTAATTGTGCAGTGTATGTCTTCCCGTTTTGCACGGGGTGTGCATGTAATTATCGTCTTTAAGAGCGGTGAGCTCCTGTTTCCCATGGTGGTGTAGTAACACGTTGCCTCCTCCGCGAGTGGAGAGTGTGTATAAGCTCCCAGCAGTTGTAGCAGATGTATATTGCACAAATGAGTAGTGGCTAGTGTGCATTACGTCGTCGGTATGTTTTAGGGTTTGCCGATTCGATTCGGAGATCAAAGTTAACAGCGATTTGTTAAACTTAAGTCACTCTGCTGTGCTATTCCGTTGCCGGTGTAGTTTGTGCACATTACCTGCGCATGCTCGTCAAGAAAATGCGCCTTCCTCAATCGGTTCCTTTGTTTAGTGCACTCACGACACTCGAGCCAAGGAATCAATCTACTTTATTACGTCGCACAAATCAGGATGTGTATATACATGTCGGCACAATATGTGGCATGCGTAGTTTTTATGCGACTTCGTTCAGAATCGACGTATTCAATTATATTTATTTAAAATCGACGTATTCAATTATATTTATTTAAAATCGACGTATTGCTCCATTCCTTGTTCCCTTCCAACAGGTGGCTGCGTCTCTTTACAAGTCGCCGTCATTCTTCTCCAAATGGGTAGAGACCGTTTACCTACACCAAGAAGAGTTCTACAACGATCGCACCTTGCACCTGTCCCGCTCAGAAGTGGACCAGAAACTATCCCAATTGGGGCCTGAGAGTGGCCTGGCGGCCGCTGTGGTGCTAGACGCACTCCAAACACGCGAGTATGACATGGCCCTGAGAACTAGTTGGAAGTATGGGTGTTCAAGGGGGGTCACAGGTACACCTATCTACATTGTAAACGGCGTGCTCACTACACCGAAGGCTAACACAATAGAAGCATGGGCTGATATAATCAAGCCTTTATTGCAGTAGACGCCGTTGTATATAGGTACTTGCAGTAGACACCGTTGTATATATCTTGGCCGCATATAGATGCGCTTTTGCCCAAATCCCTGCACATTTAAATTCTAATATATATATATCTGACCTAGGAGCAAAATGATGACACCAATTTTCTATAGCTGTGCACACGTACATATATAGGCACGTGTATAGATATACGCTGCAATGTCAACGCCACAGGTGTCCCAATCTGAATTTAGACTAAGGTTAATGCACGACTGACATGCGCCGCTTGTTTAAGAGGAAGCATTGGTCGGGTCTATTGACGTGAGATGTTTAACACGATCCTTCGAATTGCATTCAAGCTGTGCGTTTCCTTGTAAGAAGATCTTCGTGCATACATCCACGTAAGGGCGGATAATGGTGTCGCGCTTCTTGGCAACCAATTACTATTATGCACCCTTAAACATTAACTGCTATGTATTGTTCATTGCTCTATATACCTTCCATGGGAACACGCTATTAGTACTGTACACGTATTAAGCACGGATACGACTCGATCGCACAAGATTCTATCGTAAGGAACTGCCAAAGCATAAACAGGGATGTGAATAACATGACGGGAGTATCCACAAATGGAATAAACTTGTTACTGAGAAGAAACGATGACAGGTCTTGCTAATCAAGTCACACATCACCGATTCTGTACTTTTGAGCAGCTTTGCAATATACTGTTGCCAGCCCATAGATGAACGTTAATATTTATAAGGGTCGTATATTCGCGAAGAAATATGTTTGTGTGGGTTACTACAAGTACTAGGTTATGTCCTTCGATACCATAATATACTATTCTATCGCTTTTTCCATCAGCATAAAGCAATTTTATGCAGTGGCAAAATCTGTGAGTGTAGTCTCGCAGTACCTCGCTAATAACAAATGCGATATGCTTACTAAATAGATACTGTCCAACACTGGAGGCATACCCATAATAGCATGGCGAATCTGCGAGGAACTGTTGAAAAATCCATGCACTTATCATTCCTGAATATTTTATTTTAAAGTGAGTAAACCCCTAAAACATTTAGACAATGTTAAACTGTTCTTTGGTGCCACATCAACCCATGATATGAATAGAGTCATGTAGGTTGGTGTTTATCCTAGTTAGATACAATTATTCACGCGCAGACCTGCTCAGTAGAGGTCTTTTAAATGGCCAGCTAGGGAACATTAAGGATCTATTTCACTAGATTTAGCTATGAAGTTACGGCGTGAGTAGCTCGCAAGGTGAGACGTGGTATGTGTGTGACATTTACTTCTGAATGTTCCCAAGCTCACTATATATGCTATGGTGTAATAAGTGTGAAAAAGGTCGGCATTCGCAGTTTTTTTTAATGAATATGCCACACCAAACAATAATGAAGATACTATTTTAAAATAAAGTTCATTGAGCCTGATTATTCAATTAGTTGTGCCGTAGATAATGAAGTCAGATGGAACAGAGTCTTTTACTATTAAACAACTGTGTTGTGGGTTAGCAATATATAATGCAGGATCCATTATAATATTCTACAAAGTAATATTTTGTAAAGTGTTTCAGCATTATAATATTCAACAAAGTAATATTTTATAAAGTGTTTCAGCTTAAGTTGTACACAATTAACTCATAACGGGAAGGCCGACCGGTTGAAGATGTCAAACGAATGGGAATCCTTCTCGCGGTATGACTGGGTCTTCAAACCTCGCAGCATGACTGGGTGCACTTGTTCAAATCACCGCACTCGCCCGACCATCGGCAGCACACCTTGTCCACTTGGATAGGACCCTCAAGAGAATCGGAGTCAAGCTCACGCTTCTCGGCGCAAGTAATCTTGTAATCGTTGCTGCTGCTGCTAGAGCTACCCGAGTTGCTAGGCAGTTCAAAGTTGACCATCTCGTCAGCGCTGCCAGATTTGACAGCGATGTTAGAGTTGTCATTTTTGTCAGTGTTGCCGGAGATAGTATTGCTGCCTGATTTGTCCGAGTTCTCAATGCTTCCTGAGTTATCAGAGGTACTATCGCTACCAGAGTTATCAGAGTTACCATTACTGCCAGAATTGTTGGAGATGTCATTGCTGCCAGAAATGTCCGAATTATCATTGCTGCCAGAATTGTCAGTGTTGTCTGAGCTATCTAATATGCCAGAGTTGTCAGAATCGACAGCGCGGCCGGAGCGATCAGAATGACCAGAGCCACTG